AGCCCTAAAATTGCTCCATTTTGCAATAGAGCGCAGGCTTCATTTTTCAAAATGGCGATGCCGGGGGGATCCAGGAATTTTCGCAGGTGGCGGGGGGGGGGGTTTATCGGCAAAAAAATCTGAAATGTAGACACGTTTTTTCTCCGGACAATCCTCAGAAAATCAAAATGTGGGGGGGGGGGGGGGGGGGGGGGGCCTTGTACCATAATTTCAATGGGGGCGCTGTTCAAGTCCGACATTCATGAACACATTATCACAATATAATGTACATACATGTATACCCCCTAACCAAGCTGGCTCTGTTCGTATCGGGAGCAGGTTTTTTTTTGGCATTTTTTTTAACTTGAATTTCTTTTGGAATTTTTTTTGCCAGAGCTGGGGGGGGGGGGTTGACCCCCAAAACCCCCTCTGGTTCCGCGCCTGCGATGGAACACAGCACTACTTTTAAGGGTGATCATCTTCGGATTGAATTTTCTCCCCAAAGTGAAATGTCGACAAGTTTTTCCGTCAAAACAAATGGGGTGGGGGCTTGTACCATTTTCCCAAATAGGGGGCGCTCTTCAAAAACGGCCATAATGCAAACTACGCATTATGTGCCCATTTTCAGGGCGCATTGTAAGGGTTTTGGAGCTTGGTTTTCATATTCCTCGTTCATATCAGAACTCTCTAGGCCTATACCATTTTGGGAAATGGTTACTGCATGATAACACATTGTCCAAAATTTTAGTGCCAGTTCCCCCGCCCCCCCCCCTCCGGTTCCGCCACCCCTGCATCCCCTTTGCTACGCCCCTACTTACAAAATGTCACATTGCGACCACATTGATGCATGAACCATGGAAAAGTGTTTACACCATTGTGACATTGGCATTTGACATTTCCCCCTCCCCCATACTTAAATCCAATTACTTATTTTTCTCTCTCAATTCATCTCTCCATCGTCTGCGTTTCTTTACCGTGGATTTCAGATATTTAGTTACAGTTCGAAACGCACAGGGACGGTGTGGCAGGTAATTCTGTCCCCCCTGGTTAATGTGTCCCCCCGGACAGATTTACCGGGTCGTGACCCGGTAAATCTGTCCGGGGGTACACTTTTACCTAGGTAAACCTGTCCCCCTCTAGGTAAATCTGTCCCCCTGCACGACGGTAAATGTGTCCCCCCTGGTAAATGTGTCCCCGTGCAACGTCACAAGGCTAGCACCCAGACTGTATATTAGTAAAGTTATTAACTGTTTTTGCTCGGCGCCTTGCTAAATTCGGGAATGGTGCTTACGGCAAAGCACATGCAACTCCCGTTTTGATGACAACTTCGGGAGCGAGCGATTTGCATGGTGGGCGTGCGCGCGACTGTACCGCACCTACGGAGGGCGTGCGCGCGCTAGCGATAGGTTGAGTATTACTACGCGTGCCTTTTCTGCTTTCTTGCAGAAACATAGATCGGTTGATTAACATCTAAACGTTAATTTCATTTTGATAATCATTGATGAAGGGTGGACAAATCTAAAAATATATTCCCTGTGCGCTGAACTCATTATAATAACATCAATATAACAACTTATGCGTGCAAAACCAGGGGGGACAGAATTAACTGGAGGGGACAGAATTACCTGGAGGGGGACAGAATTAACGGGACAGGGGGGACACTTTTACCTAGGTAATTCTGTCCCCCCGGACACTTTTACCGGGGGACAGAATTACCGTCCACAACGGACGACCGAACGACTGGTCAACTGCAGGGTGTACAAAATCTATTTGGTCTTATTTTGGACAGAAAGCTAAAAAAGAAGTGGCGCACTGCTTTTTTTTCTCCATTGACTTAGATGAGCGATATATCAAGTCTATTTGGTTTAAGTTTTGACAGCTAGTCCATAATGTATATTTATAATTCAGTGGCTGCGTTCAAATGCCTTGGTCCTTGCACTAACTGAAGTAGTCGATATTTAATTAATAACCACCTATATTACGGTGACATGAAGTCACCATGGCAAGACGTAGATGACGCTGACTAGTCTCGGTACCGCCATTGAAGCGTGTAATAGATTTTTGCCATTAGGAGACCTTGGATAGAATAAATGATACCTTAATGGCCCTACCTTAGACCAACACGATCTACTGTATGGTTAATCACAATAGATTCATGACTGCATCTGTTGTGTAACTGGGGGTGGGGTGGGGTCACAGTGCCCTTCTCCAGCCCGAGGGCAAAAAAATGAGCTTTTTGTCGTTAAAAATCAATCGAGTACTTCTTCCAAAAATGAGATGCCCCGCCCTAGGTCTGAGCAGCACCTGTTGGTCCAACGGAGCTCTCTCTGTCTCTGGTCCGACGTCGATCTAAGCATGCAAATCTATGCGACCCCGCGCGCTAGCCAATCGGAGTCGACATGACGTCATTTCAATCCGAAAACTGGACTAAACTACTGACTGGTCACTTTGGATGCCATGTTTGTGTCATACAACACTGGGCGTATAGATCTGATAAAACCAGACATTGGCTTTCAAAACGGGTTACCGAAGACCCGATATAGAAGGCGCCCGCTGAATGGTCAGAATCTCGAGGTCAAGACGCAGTCTCGTTGCACAAATAATCGCCGAATCTGCTGGCATATCATAGACGCTTGACGTGCAAGGGGATATTCCATAGACTACGCCCTAGGTTCCATCCCCTGCAAGTTGAACCTAGTCACGCCCCTAGCATTGCATCAATACACTCATCAGCGCAATATTTGCCAATTCGAATTCAAACATAAAATAAACAATTGCTGACTACTGGGATGTTGGTGTTTTTAAAGGGAATGTATATACAACATTTGCTTTTGCTGCAATTTTCAGAAATAAATGGATTCGGAGGATTAGTATGTTATAGAAAATATTGTTAAACTGACTTGCTTCACGTTTTGGGTTTGGAGATGCTAGAAAATCCAAGAAAACCAACCATGTTCTTGTAGTCTGGTTCCCTGACCCCACTTAATATGAAACGGAACAATGTATAGACTTTGGGGAATCGTAAGGTCAGAGAATCAGTCTAGCAGCTTGTACCCATTCACAGGTGTGTAATCAATTGCTAAGGAAATGCGGAATAACTAAATATGAAAAAATAGGAGTTTTTGACAAAAAGCCAGTTTTCTCCAACGCTGGTCGGCCGACCAGCGCTGGAAAAATACAAGTTTTCTTGAAAATGTCAGCACACCGGAAGCCCTGATTTTACAGGATGCTTTGGACTGTCATTCCCAAACAATCCAGTAAGATATTTTGTGATAATTTAATCATTTCGTTTTTTGATGTTTGGAAATGTTGTATCTTCTCTTTAACGCAGAGGCAATTTATATGCAAAGAAGTACATGTGAGGTAATTTATTTTCAGCGCAGTGCATAATGAGTGAACGGTTATTTTCACAGATTATACACGTTGCTGTTCTTGCCAATGAAATTCCACTATTCAAGACTCGATAAAGCAAACGCGTTTATCACAATACTGTTGACCACGCTCTATTTATGAGGCTTCGACAAGTGAAGTTTCAAACGTTAATAAAAATGAACCAAAAATAACTTATATCCTTTTTCCCTTTTGGTCTTTAATAATAATAATAATAATAATAATAATAATTACCCTGGATTGGAAATTTGGGAGACATCCCCATAGACTTGGGCACATATTTTTTCAAACTTAAATGTGCCCTGTCCTTTTTCCACGAATTTCGGTGTGTTTACTAATTAGACCACGAGCAACAAAAATAACATTATTCCGACAACAACATTTTGCCTCTAAAGGGGGGCTGTGACATTAGGGAGACATGATACGTATTATTAAAACGCGTTTAATTAAAGATCAAAGCGCTTCTGTATTATTATTACTCCTGATCATCAGGCCAATGAAAATATTCAAATGAAAACATTGAAATGAAACATTCTAAATATAATCTCAGCTCCCTGAGGAGTATACAGCTCGATGCAACCATTCGGCGCAAGGCAGCTAGAATCAAGCACAATGACCATCTCTGCCCTCACAGGCACCCATTTTCTTCTGGGTGGAGAGAAGCAATGAGCGACAAAAGTGCCTCGCCCATGAGGGCGCACACCACAGCGGCACAGCCCCAGGCGAGAATCGAACCCACAACCTGCAGAATTACCCGCAGACCACCAGCTCAATGCAACACCCCGCGGTCTTTAGGGGAAAAAAGCGTTAACTCGATCCACGTTACCTCCTCCACAAGGTCATGTTAATAATTGAAAGTTACCATGCATCATCCCAAGATGACCCCGTGACAAAGGCAAGTGTGTGTTAGCCGACTCGTTAAGTGGTGCTGGAATTTACTACCTTACGGAGACATGCACACAATAGGGAACAAAAGATTGTATACGTCTCCACAAGAATTTCACGAAATAGATATATGGATTTTACTCGAAAACTAGGAATTTCCAAGGTAGGTTGATTTGTCGCAAATGGAAGAGTTTTAGAAAAGGGATATTTAGTCCAAATTTCAGCCCAGGAAATTAATTCTGGTTAAAATAGAGCATTTTGAAACGTCAATTTTAAACTCGAAAACTTTACTACACGAGAACAAAGAAATGTCTCCACAAGAATACAAATTCCAGAATGCGTGCTCTTCAATGTGTATAGCAAATTAACTACTCGACTGTAAAGTATCGCGGTTTTGTTTCCAGTTTAAAATCTCTCTCTCGGCGACAATATGAGTTCCGATCACTAACCTATCAATTTCTTAACTGAGATAAATTCTACTCACTACGTTTTACGCATGAACGCAATTCTTGGTAAGAGGTGAGTGGCTGCGTGTCCAAATGGAAGATTATGTTTTTGATTCTTCAACCTAAATAATAAATAATGACATATGACGCCAGTCACGCCAATAAGGACGCCAAACTGGCGGTGTTTGTCTCAAATAATCGGCGCAGAAAAAGATGAACCGGTAGCTGTTATACTTAGAAAAATCTCTATTAATACACATCAGCAGGACCATACCAGCTATTCGATCAAAATACCATTCGGCGCACGACAGCACTCAATCCGCCTCCGGCCGGCGTGAGGTCACTGCTCATCATTTTTTTAACAACAAGCTTAGATACGCACCTCAGGCTCGAGTGTTAACTGGTGCATGGGAGCCGTAAATTCGGTGTAGGCCTAGTGTATTTCATCCAGAATAGTTTTCTGTCGTATCCTATACGCTCGGAGAAAAACAGGGAGGTCCTCAAGAGATGGCGATTAATTGATACTTCTGGTGATTCTGGAAATAAGGGACTGTGGGATTTCAGATTTTTTTGTTTTGTTATCGGGAGGAGAGAAGTTGATGAGAAACCATGGCCTCCAATGCGGCCACACTTCTCTACGCAACAGCAGCAGCAGCATGCGTCGTCTTCGCAGTACTACCGTGGGTCCACGGCATAGAATCGTCCTGGGGTCACCGCGGTTTTAAGGTCCATTGTGAGAAGGGGATCCGTCTTGGTGACGGGGACGCCGGCTTGGGAGTCTCCCGTAAGACGTCATCCAAAGCCCAGTGTCTGCGGAGCTGCTTTGCTCGCCCCGAGTGCGAGTCTATCAGCTACTCGCCCGAGACGGGCCAATGCTACATGAGCGACTCCACCAAGGGTGTAGCTGGGGCATCTCAGGATGAGGGATACGTCTACTGCGGACCTGACCAGGATGAAGTGTGGGAGGTATTTTCTTTTCCTTTCTGTCCCCCTTTTCTATTTTTAAACAGATACATGAACAAAATCTTGTGACATTCGTTGATATAAACGACCGAAACGATAAGTTACACGCGCTTTCAATATCTAGCAAGCCAAAACACGGCATGTGAAAAAAAATATCTGCGGCGATTTTAACTAATTCACTTTGTTGTGACGTTACTACGCTGTTACCACTCCTAGTTACATTTGGCTAGAAAAACATTCACATTTGCACCCGGCTGACTACAGCTAGGGTCAGATTGGTTTGGTGTGCAAGATGGACTGTATTCTAGTCAATTCAAACCAGAGTATTTTGGAGTGTTTAGGGAATGGGACACGCCCCCTCGAGGCCCCGCCTCTCATTGCGTCCTCTCTCGGAATTCGGAAGGCAAAAAAGAGCATAAAACACTGGAACTTATAGGTTTTCCCGGCGAATTTCGGAATTTTTCTAATCAGTTTCATTATCAGCCATTCAATTTCAGGTGAGTTTGGCACATGTGGTCAAATTGGGGTTTCTTTTTAATTTTGGGTTCATTCAATTTCATTTTTAGGCAGCCAAGATTTTGCTCTGAATGTTCATTTTCATTTTCGAGCATCCTATTTCGTTTTGCTGCATTCAAGACTTAAATTGTAGCAGTCTTAAATTAAGTCTTTGCAACCTTTTGACGGTTGACGCATTCAAATTAGCGAACATATGTGCGCTTATTACGTATAACCATGCTTTTCGTTTCTTTTTCGTTTATGGGCAATCGCTTTCATCGTTTGGTCATTTTAATTAGTAAGGTTTTTTTTAATCGATATATTTTCATAGTTTCCTCCGAGGTTCATCCCCCCCAAACAATCTTGATGACTGTAACATTTACAAAGTTACATATTAACTGATATGATGGAAGCAAGATGTAACGATATAATTAATTGAAATAAAGGGACTAAGATAATTTCTTTTTCACTGTTGATCTTTTCTACTTGTTTAAACGTTTGAGCAAGGGGCATATTTACGTTGACGACTTCTTGAAGTGCAAGACATCGGTATGGTTGTATCATCGGGACACTTCTCTTGTGTTATTTCGTAAATGTTTTCTTGCGTATGTCTGACCGAACACTTACCGTATTTAAAGGGCCCATGCAAAGTTAGTTTTCAATACAAACCTTGAAATATACACATTATGCCTTCTCCGTTTTATGCTAATGCAACCTTAGTTTCACATTCATTAGAATACCTGTGATGGCATTCCGGGCATGATTAATGTTACATGGCTATTTAAGCACAAAAAATTGCTAGAATTTTGGATATTTTGCTGTTATAAATTTCTTTCATTTGGTGATTCTTTGATGTGTCAGTATGCATGGCAGTAAGCCAGTGAGCAACCCTTTCCCACAAATGTTTTCTATTAGAAAATTTTGGATGAATAATTTGAAAGAAAACCCCCAAAACTGAACAGTGTCTTCCTGAAATGACATGACAGTAACAGCGCGCTCATACGTAGTCCGGAAAAGCATGGACACTTTTAAATGTTTAACCCTAAAATGGCCGGTTGTTTTGACCATCTCTCAGCCGGGGGGCAGATTCCGCCCCCGGTCCCTTTAGGGTTAAAGAAATGCACTTTTGCAATAAGATTAACCCAAAAAATGTTGTTAAATGTGTAGTTTTCGCACATTTCACAGTAGTGAAGAGTTGCACAAAAAAAAAATCCTGAGAAAAATACATGATTTACGCTAAGGAATACGTACACGTATGAAGTCTTAAAAGATGTTTGACAAAATGTGAAATATGTTTGCCCATTAATGAAAACGAATGCCCGATCAACCCCTTACTGCTGGTTTAGACAAAATTGAATGAACAACGCGATATTTTATTATGAATGCATCTTTTACAGGGAGGAGTGAAGCTAAAAGGCGATAGATTGCTCGGATAGTGAAATTGAATGATTCTTTTTGATTGTCGAATGCCGATCTGCGTGTTCTTTCAATTTCAATCTAAATCGAATGAGCCAGGCGTTAAATTGAATGAAAACTTGGTGAAATTGGCCGGGAAAACCTATATTATCCATCCAGAAAATGAAACCTCTAACCTTAAAACTATACAGCGTGTCCCAATAAACATTGTGCATGAAGGCGTCGCTGATTTGCTCAAAAGGTGGTCTAGCTAATCAATTTTTATAATATTTTAAAGCCCATGGTATTGTTTATAATTGGTAAAAATATCAGGAAATTTCATCAATGCAACCAGAGATATCGTTGATTTTGTAAGGCCATTTTTCCCCCTCCTGTACAATTAGAATCCTGTAGTTAAGCTTAGGCCAATACATTTCAGCTGTCAAAGGAGATTGCATGTTCATTATCCTTTCAAAATCTTTGTCAAAGACTAAACACCCAGCATTTTGCATTCCAAGTTGTATTAGATTCAATTATACAATGATATATACCCAAAATGTTATCTGTGAACACCCTTATCCAAATGCAACATGAAGGCGACGCAATATTTCACTGCGTAACAGTCATGTGGTTGCGAAGGGCGTTTTCTAAAGGTTACATAGTTCATTTTGAATGAAACTACGTGTACACACATGTTCACGTTGGCGAGCGAAATCTTTGGAAATTAATTTCTCCCGTTTGGAAGACCATATCTTCATGCAACTTTCAGGGTTTACTTCCCTCATAATGACCCAAGTATGTGCTAAAAATCGTTGCGATGTGTTCATTTCTTTTCGTTGACATTGGAAAAATAGGCCTGGCTGCGTGCACTTTTGAAAGTTAGAACACTAGCGTTTGCAGTATCTGTCAATCTTTTCAAGACTCACAAAAATTAATAAGGTTCCTATTCATTATGGTATGCAGTATAAATTTGGAGAAAAGCCGCCTTCACGAGTTATTAATTGATAAATATCACCCTTTTTGCCGGCTTCCATTGGTCGATACCGTGACCCACGCCACAACACTCCGAGTGACGCTAATGAATATGCTAATCTACCATACTCGGTCAACCGTAGCGCCTACGGCGCTTTGCGGAACAATACACGTTGACTGTGTCGGCGGAAAATCCTCGTCGAAATTTTCCATGGAGATGGTTCTAGTTGGTACACTAGCGTTTGCAACAACAGACGGAGCTGAAATTCGGAATATTCTTAGATGATATAAGTGTTGAACTACTCGTGAAATAACAACTTGGAGAGATTCCTAAAAAATTGAGGTTCATACATGCATTTGGGGAAGTTTTTGGACGATTTCTTCCAGACTTGAAGGTCAGCCTTACCAGTAACCAGTAATGACGTTTCGGCATCGATGACCGAGATTTTTTCACTGACATGAAGTTTAGAGTGTAGTCTTCCATTATAAATTAACATTTCAATCACACTGAGCATATTTTCTGAGAAATACAACGTTCAAAAGTCATGTTTTTGGGGATGCATGGAATTCACTGCTCTATTAAAGCGTCTAAAAGTACGTAATCGGATTAGCTTTGCCTAACAACACCAGATGCTTTGCCTTAGCAACCACATGACTGGTAACACATACCGATAACCCAATAATATACAAGCAAATACTAGTGTGGAAATTACATTGTGCAGGTCGAAAAATACATTACCAAATTAAAGATATCTCCGGTTTGCATCGATAGATTTTTTTTCACCAATTATAAACAAGACCACAGGTTTGAAAATGCTATACAGTTTGCTTAGCTAGTCTGAACAACTTTGCGAAAACTATCGATGTTTATTGGGACACGCTGTATATTCAATTGCTGTATGTCCATCAATTTTATGCATAGCAGCCATCGTAGAGAGTGCAATATTTTCACACACATGATTATACCTATTTCTTTAATAAAATTACGGTGTCAAAAGAACATTATTTCCTCATATATTTCGCTCAAAACAATCTCCGTAATGGTTCCTGAGCTACTAGTGATAATACAGACTGCTAGCTACGCTTAATTGACCGTAAGCTTTGTAAGGGTACCATTCATTGTCACGCGTTGTAATGCGGTAAATTACCGTACAATTCACGACTAATAGGTACCATCAATTTACCATTGTCGTAATTTTTATCTGTTTTTTTTTGGGGGGGGGGTGTTACAGTGCATGCTTTTCTTATTAATTTTACTGTACGTCAAAGCACAGTTTTCAAAACAATCTCATAGCGGCTACCTATATTGCTGATATCAACAATGACAAATGTCTGCTTTGACTACTGCCAAAAGCATTTTCCATGAACGGACAAGCATCAGATGCGCTGATGTAACTATGGCAACAACGTGTGCCAAAATACAGGTAGTCTATAAGTATAGATTTTCCCGTCCAATTTCACCAAGTTTTCATTCAATATTTTTATTTGCTCATCGGACCAATTCAAGGAATGGTATCGAAGCATTGTGCCATGTGTTGTTCAGAATGGACTGGTTGTTTTCTGTGAAAACAGGCACAATGCTTCCGTCATCACTGTAACTGGAGACTGTCCACTGCCCTCCATATACAAATCTGCATAACCCATTGGCTGTTAGAAGTGGACTGTCCGCCATATTGCCAGTCCCAGATTAATAGATTTATAAAGAAAAATATCAAATTGGATTGATTTTTTGTAAAAAACAAAATTAAATGGCAACAAAATATATTTGATGTAAATGCACACTTTTAGACTTTTGTGTACACTTTTAGACGACTTAAATCGAGAGGGATCGGGAACCAGCGCGCAGCTTCACTTTTTTGTACAGCTCAGAATGGTCCACGAGCGGTGTTTTTATTTGCAGCACACATCGTCAATGGTCTTTGGATCATGATTATTTAGCTAGAGTTCGATGTTTATTCATAAGAAAATTAGAATGACGTCACACCATTGCTATCACTCAATCATGCATGTACACTAAAGCGTTTCAAAGAACGGCTTTCGTCGAGCTGCCACATGGGTAGTGGAATGAACTATGGATGGCAAGATCTGTGGTTCGAACCTGTGTCCATTTTCATTGAACCTTTTTGTTCGTTGAGATAAGTTTAATAAGCCTCTGTACTGATGACGTCACACTTTGTTCACATGTGCACTTTCCTATGGAGCCAGTGGGGGCCCCGCGGTCCACTGAGCACCATAGGAAAGCACACACGTAAACAAAGTTTGACGTCATCAGTACAGAGGCTTATTGAAGGGAAAACACTACGAGAAGCTAAGTGTCTTCCCTCCACTCAGCGTAAGTAAATATTCATGTTAGGTTGCGTGATGTGATTGGTTAAAAGACGACGTATGCTGGGAAAAAAGGTGCGGCCCACGTGCTATCCAGATTTGTTTACATGGAGATCAGTGGGACCGTCATTATGCATGGGTGTTCAGAAACATCGCTCCTATTAGCTGCTCCTGCCCTGGCATGGTACTTGATCATTTTTACCGCCAAAAATCTTGAACAATATAATTAGTAGTAGCGGATCTAGAGGGGGGGGGGGTGGTGTTGGAGGTTGCAACCCCCCACCCCCACCCCCACACCCCCGTTCAGCTGCTGACTAATGTTATGACACAAGTAAAATGGGGCCAAAAATAATAAGCGGAATGCTAAAGTTCCTAAATGTATTCTTGAATTGCCTTAGAATGCAGGAGAAAGCATCGTAGCCTTCAATATTTTCCGGGGCATACCCTTGGACCCCCCTAGCAGGACGCGTTTTAGACCCCCCCCCCTCCGGTTTTTAGATCCTTGCAATGGTACACTATGGAGACCGAAGTTCATAAAGCAGATCCCAAACACGCGTTTAATTCGCGCTCGCGCCAATTTCGGAAAATGTTCTTCTGCAGTCTAGTAAAGTCATTTACGTGATGCTTGAAACATATCACCTGATTGAATAAAGATGTCATGGGATTTGAAATATCTTCATAAAGTTTAGATTTAGGGCCTGCACAATGAAAAGCGAGGCATCACTGTGGCCTGCTACGTTAGGTCGGGGTCCAAATGCTGCAGGTTACGGGTTGGAGTGCCCCGAAGTTTTACATTTTATTTTGTTTCCCCAAAGCGAATTTTCTCTCTTAAATTGTGTTTAATCAATTCCTACCAATCGACGAAATAAACTTCAATTTGTTTTCCTCTGATTTATGGCCCTGGAGGATTTTAGGGGAGTTAAGTCCGAGAACCAGTCCGTTACCACCTGATGCATGTGCATTATAGTATTTGACCATACTTGCTTGTAGAACAAGAAATGCTTGCCAGTAGTTCAGTTCGACTCGCCCAAAAGTTCAATTATTGATCAGTTATATGACCTTCGCTGAGTACGACAACGTGTAATCAAATATGTGCATCGTTACAATGAATTAGTAAACGCCTACTTCAGGATGAACACGTTCGATGGATATATATAGAAACTATAAAATGAACGTTAAACTTCAACCCTCCCTTGTTATGTCAGTCAACAAATCGATGTACGGACCTTGAGAAATATATAGCAATCATGTAGCTCCATGAAGCAATGAAGACTTTTGAACTATGGGTTTGCTGCATTACTAGTCCAGTGCCCAGTATAATCCTCTCCATAATAAATCGAGTCGCATGACAAGGAATGTAGTATAATGTCTTTTTCATAGTTATTTATGACACGTGAGATTGCATTATTCAAATGAATGGGTTTTTTTATGTTTACCTAATTTTTCAGGGACTAACATAATATAGAAATCTAAATAGAGAAATTGAGGAATAACACATAATGCCTATATTTGACCTTACCAAACACACACTGACAGAGGATGTCTTAAAACAATTGCCTAAAGTTGGTTGATACGTTTTTTTTCTTCAAAATGTCAAATTTCTTTTCCGAACGAAATTGGAATGAGTACAATGTCCTGTAACAAAAATATGTGCTTGTTTGCATTAACGCATGCGTTTATATAGTTTTGAAAAGCGGTTTTACACAGCGCGCTCCAGTTCAAAAAGTTTTGAGCGAAACACTTTGAATATACATATCTAGTGACGTACAGCCACGTATTCATGTATGTTAATTTTGGAATCACGCGTTTTGTATTAGCCTATATAGCATCGTGGACCGATCCGGCGACTTTTACGTCTTTTCCTCTCAGAGGATTGCAAAAAGCGTAGTTATTTTCAAGTGTAGATTTGAGTGGTCGCACTAATGGCATATCGTGTACGTGCCTTTTGGCTGTGGCACCCGAAAAATAGATTTTCAAATTGAATTGATAATTGTCTAGCATTGCATAAGTGATGAGCTTTCCAATGAGATATCGCACGAAAAAAAAATCGGCCGACAATAAGTAACCAATTAAAAAATTTCGACTTCATTCCCTCCCAAAACTTGATGACTGTAAAATTTACAATGTTACAAATTAACTGATAGGCCCTATGAGGGAAACAAGATGTAACTACGAATTAATTAATTGAAGGGACTAAGATAATTTATTTTTCACTGTTTATCTTTTCTACTTGTTTAAACATTTGAGGAAGGGTCATCTTTACGTTGACGATTTCTTGACGTGCAAGACATCGGAACACCTATGTTTGGCAATGGTTGCACCATACCATCTGGAACATTTCTCTTGAGTTATTTCTTAAATGTTTTCTTGCGCATGTCTGACCGAACACTTACCGTATTCACAGGGTCCTATATGCAAAGTAAGTCTGCAATGCAAACCTTGAAAATACATCTTTGTGTCACATTTAACCTTATTTGCAAGTTTCGTTTTCCATTTTGAGGGGTATTTTTGGTGCCTTCTCCGTTTTATGCTAATGCAAAGTTTCATATTCATTAGATAACCTGTGATGGCATACCGGGCATGATTAATGTTACACAACTATTTCAGCAAACAAAGTTGCTAGAATTTTGGATATTTTGCTGTCATAAATTTCTTTTATTTAGTGATTATATGATGTGTCAGTACATGGCAGTAAGCCAACGACCAACAACGCGATACTTTTAAAATGAATGCATCTTTGATACGGACGAGTGAAGCTAAAAGGCGATAGAATGCTTGGATAGTGAAATTGAATGATTCTTTTTGATTGTCGAATGTCGATCTGCGTGATCTTTCAATTTCAATTTAAATCGAATGAGCCAGGCGTTAAATTGAATGAAAGCTTGGTGAAATTGGCCGGGAAAACCTATATAAACTACAAGCATCATAGCATACAGTCAGCTCGCAAGCTATTAAAACGAAATCGAAGGGAAACTGGGGTAACAAGATGGTCTATGAAGAAATTTAAAAAAAAAGTGTCTAAAATATGACACGGACACAGATGACGAAGGAAAACTACATCGTAAAAAAAGTCATGTACAGCAATTTATGAAATTAAATGCACCATAACGAATCATGCATTCGAAAGAACATATTGTTGATTAACAAAGGATATTGAGTTTATGCGCCTGTGAATTTTATTGCTTGGCCTTCATCAAGATCTTCATTGAGATGTATAACAACATGTAGAAAGGAAAGACTACGAGCCGAGGAAAGACTACGATACGAGCCAATACGGTGAATTATGTATTTGACGGTTATGAAAGATTGAACGTAGTGCAGTATTATTCCATCAACCATTTCCATAAAAATATGAATTGAAAACATTTTTTTATTCAGCCAAATAGGCCTAGCTATTGAAAGATTGAAATTAACAACACAGGGAAGAGTCGAACTTTTCCCTTATTTTCTGTTTCCACAAATATCCGTGGAGTTTCACAAAGTCGCCGACACGTGTTTTGCCGTTCATTATTGATATATTGAAGTTGGTGTATGCGTGCTTTGTGTGTGGAACCTTGATAAATGGATTTTTTTAAATTAAATTAATAATTTTCTAGCATTCCGTTAGTTATGAGCTTTCGAATGAGAAATAGCAGGAAAACAATTGGCCCATGACGGGCAATCAATTATTAATTTCAACTTTTGAATGAGCGGGACACTCCTAATTCGTTCTGAATAGTGTGCGCAATTTCTGAACTGGAGCGCGCCATTTAAAACCAATTTTTAAAATCTGTATAAAAGCCTGCAAAAACAAACAAGCACAGTTATTTGTTACAGGACATTATATTCCATTACATTTCGTTCTGAAAAGAAAATCTAATTTTTTTAAAAAGCACGTTTATGACAACTTTAAATGTTTCATGTTTGTTTGTTGTTGCGAAATCTCACTGATCTGTTTGTTTTAATTTGCAAGTTCTTTACTGAGGGTTGGCATTTTAGTTGTATTCTTACTACAATCTGTGTCCGACTCTCAATTTACATGCAAGATCCTTGAAGAATGATCAAAACAAACACAGGGACCTAATTCGACTTGGTACTTTGAAGTGTATAGGATAAGATAGTATGTTTATATTTTTGTCATGTTTTCATTCAGAGAACCGCTATTACAGTGGAACTCCCCACAACGACATTGATGCCAACCACACTGGGTAAGTTTAATTGGTTTCGAGTGATCGGAGTCGCTTTGAAGAGAATTGAATCCGATGTGATTAACTGCATTTGGAAAAAAATAAGTGGTAGGCCTACAATTTTCTACATGAACTGAGCATAGGATATGAAGCTCAGTAAGACGTGTATTGTTTTGGTTTTCATTTCCGTACGTCTACAATGGTACTGAGTGTAAAACTTTGTGAAATACGTACATGATGAGAACAGTTTTGAGCTTTGATTTGTGCAACAAAAGTTAATCAAATGACGGCTGAACTAAAAATCACCAGAAATTACAGGGGCTTGGTAGTGAAACAACAAAGTCTCAATCTGAACCATTAGTAAAAACTTGTGTCAACTATTTCTTCGGCGGGACAAATAATCATTTCTGGGCCAATATTACATTGGGTGTTATTTTTTTGTCCGACTTAGCTGCCTGAACAGAATTAAAGACGGAAAGAAGAATCCAAATAAAAAAGAAAGATCACAAACTGTAGGTTTTCATATCATGGAATTGAGTTCAGACCGATTCCTGCAGTAAATTAATCGGAATGGAATTCACTTGGTATCTTGTACCAAACCATGACCCTCCCAGTTCGTTTTGCGAGTTTTCAATAACTGTGATCGTCTCGCAAGTTCACGCTGTGTCTATTCAGTGTTGTTGTCCATCACAAGCTCTCACAACTCCATCACAAGTCCGTCACAAACACCCAAGTCTCTAATTATGTCAAAAGCTATGTACGTGAACTGTGAAAAAGGGATTCCTTTGTCGTTCATCTCTTGTTACTTGTGACGGGGTCTACCTGATGTTCATCAATACCTATGTTCCCCAAAATCCTTACAGGGTTAGGGTTAGGGTTATATAGTTAGATGGTTAGGGAACATAGGTATTGGAGAACATAGGTATTTGGGAACATAGCTATGCACCCCTTGTGACCGGACTTGTGATCGACTATCTAATCACCTATAACATTGCTCATGTTGACAGAACCCAACGAGTGTGACAGTGACCCTTGCCAGAACGGAGCCGCTTGTAACGACGGCCCGGACATGTTCACTTGTGACTGCGCCCCTGGGTACGAGGGAACCACATGCAACACAAGTGAGTAGGATACATTTCGTTACCGTGAGTCTGAAGAATATCACGACATCAATTCGGGCGATTCACAATGCAGTGCGCCACCAAGAGTTTGCCATGGAGAGTTCATTTTTCCCAGTGCACTGTGGGAGATGGTCGACAAATTCGCAGCGCGGGACATTTGATATTGTGAGTTTTTTCCGGTCAGTGGTTTCGTAAGCGTATGGTTCGAGGATCTGTTTGCCCATTTCCTTTCTTGTTATCAATATGGTGTTTTTTGTAAGGCGGCAGAACACTATGCCCCAATCTATGACATATTAGCTCAAGTTGTCTACTGACACTCATTCAAAAGGGCCAAGTTTTGTCGACCGTAAACTTGAAAAATGGACTCTCCGTGGCAAACTCTTGGTGGCGCACTGCATTTTGAATCGCCCGAATTACATCTAAACTAATTACATTATATTCGTGTGTGAACTCATAACGTACACATTCAACAAATAGACAAGTATTCTCTTTTATACATGATTCATTTTGTTCAGATACTGACGAGTGTGGCAGTAACCCGTGTCAAAATGGCGCGAATTGTGTGGATGCCGTCAACGAGTATGCATGCACGTGTCTCGCAGGCTATGATGGCGTACACTGCGAAACAAGTGAGTTCACGATTTATTCGAAATGTAGACTGTTTCCAGTGCCGCAGCCATCTTGGAGGTGTCTGCTTTTGCTCAGCAGGGATATCGCTGATATCTATTGTACTGACTGGATAGCGCTTCGGGCCGTGGGGGATGAAGTCACTGGACGGCATTTTGAAGCTCCCTTTGGCCAAGTAAAAATATAACAACAAATATTAACATGAGTAAATTAACACTGTGGGCAAAATGAATGAAAACGTGTTTGATGATCCAAAATCGTTTCCTGAACTATTGTAATTATGTGCTTTATATACGGATCCGTGGGCTGTGGAGCTTTTTAGGGAGCTTCAAAATGACCACCGTCTGTGTACGAGCGCGAGGGCGACACGGTCTTCTTGTGCACAAACATTAGTCGAAGCCAACCTCGCCCCCAGGGCGTCGAGCAGTACGCTCCCACCACTATCTGCTCTCTCACCCTGGTATTGGTCATTTGCATGTGCACAATTTTTGCGCACGTATGCAAATGAGGAATAGTCTGGTGCCTGCCTGTACGTTGCATTAGCGTTTGTGTTTGTATGCGGTGTCTGGGGTAAAACACAATCAATTCGTCGCGCCGTGAGTTACAAAAACACGATTGTTTTCGACTGAGTTAAAATGTTACAATCTTATCCTGAAAACACGTCATGCACGTTGGAAATAACAACACTAACTACACGATATAAATCCATTACTAACCAATTGCGGTATCGAATCAGGATAATGGAAGAAAGTTTCCTATCCAGGGCTTACTATTGGAAACGAGGTTGGAAATAAAGTAAGCACTGGGGACGAGGTTGTGGTCGAAGCACTATCTAGTCAGTATAGTAGAGAGTTAATGAATAAGCGGGTTCGGTGTCTCTGTGAAGTAGTCCAGGTCAAAGGTTATTCGGGATAAAATCGCTGACGTGATGAGGTGCGATGTTACGCAGGCACGAGCGTCGTACGCCCGGCCGTCTACCCGCGCGTTCATACGCCTTCGATTATCCCGAATGACCCGTGACCCATATCATTGTGCGCATGCGCAGTTGAAAAACCAAACTGGCCTAGTGACATAACAAAATACACCTCAAAGATGACTGCTGAATGCAATCGATCTATTGACAATAATAAATAAATAATAAATACAAACAAATAACAAAATTGTATTCTTTTTATGTATTTATGACAGACATCAACGAATGTGCTAGCAGCCCTTGTCAAAATGGCGTCTGCAATGATGCAGTCAACAGCTACACTTGCACCTGTTCTGCTGGATATGAAGGAACTTTATGTGACACGAGTAAGACCTAACATTACTTCCCTACATTCTTGGACATCAAACAAAATCTTGTTCTCCCTAAATAATCATTTAACCATCCACAGCCATACTCCATGTACAAAAGACAGTGATAAAGTTTGTGGTGTATGTCATTCAGGGTCCATGTCATTATAAGGGCAGGTGGTAAGAATAACATGTATGGTTCTGCCGTGAGTGTGCCCCTTTGAATAGGGCGCCCTCTTGAGGACAGGTTTTACGCCCTCTGTGATACCCCCAGATACAAAGGACTGCCATTGTCACTGGATTTTAATTTAGAAAAAAAATCATTGACGATGAACTGTGCAAAACATCTACACATTAAAAGCAATGAGATTTAAGGAACTTTCCAATTGTAATAAATCTGTGAATGAAAAAGATATGCAAATTGATTATGTTATGAGCATACTGCATCCTTGTCAACTTCAGAGAGATTTATTCCACTCACTGTTGTACAATGGTTGTCAACACAAACTGAACACAGGAAGCAGTATCAATCGAGAAAAGTATTATGTTTAAACCAAAGAAAGAGAATTAGTATTGTGGAATAATTTTTGCTGTAATGTTCGTCTTTATGGCAGACACCAATGAATGTGCTAGCAGCCCGTGTCAAAATGGCGTCTGCAACGATGCAGTCAACAGCTACACTTGCACGTGCACTTCTGGATACGGAGGCACCTTGTGTGATACAAGTAAGACCCAATTTGACTTCCATTTTCTTTTTTACAGCAAATCGAAATGTTTCACTCCCTAGACTAAGCATATTAATCCTAAGTGTGCCAGTAATGGACTCCATTGAGTGGACTAGTGAGTTGTGGAGTGAAAGATATGTGTAACATTAATTGGAATCAGACAATCAGGAGGTTGGTATGGATGGCTAACCATCCCCTCCATCACCATCACAAGTACCACCGCCAAAACAAACCTCTTTTACAAATTGGACCAAATCCAAAGTTCTCTGAATAACGTCATCGCTCACATTGTGCACATTGATTCATTGCTCCAAGTTTTTGGAGACTGCCTTGTCTCTTCTACCCCCCCCCCCCCCCACCCGAAAAATCTTGGACTTCAACACCACCAAGACACCCCTTTGGAAATCAAGGGGGAAAAACAAGCCAAAATTGAAAAGTATTCTAAAACGCGTTGGTTTACTCGGTGTATTCTTCTCTGAATTTATGACAGACATCAACGAATGTGCTAGCAGCCCTTGTCAACATGGCGCCTGCAATGACGGAGTCAACAGCTACACTTGCACCTGTTCTGCTGGATATGAAGGAACTTTATGTAACACAAGTAAGACCTAACATTACTTCCGTACATTCTTGGACATCAAACAATATCTTGTTCTCCATTATCATTTAACCATCCACAGCCATACTCCATGTACAACAGACAGTGATAAAGTTTGTGGTGTGTGTCATTCTGGGTCCATGTCATTATAGGGTCGGGTGGTAAGAATGACATGAATGCTTGTACCGTGAGTGTGACCCTTGTATAGGGCGCCCTCTTGAGGGCACGTCTCACGCCCTCAGTGATACGCATGAGAAGATACATAAAACTGCCATTGTCACTTGGTTTTAGAAATAAAAAAGCGACTTCGTTGACGGAGTTATGTCCAAACAATCTGCTCATAAAAAGCAGTGAAATTTAATTCCAATTTTAATAAGGCTGTGAACGAGAAAGAAGTGTAAATTGATTTAAAATATATGTTAGGAGCTTACTGCATCCTCGTCAACTTTTAGAAAGATTTATTTCACGTACTGGTTAGAATATTATTCTGCCATCACAAACCGAGCACAGCAAGCAATATCAATCAAGAAAAGTATTATGCTGACACCAAACAAAGAGTATTATGCAATAATATGTTTGTGTAATATTCCGTCTTTTATGGCAGACACCAATGAATGTGCTAGCAGCCCTTGTCAACATGGCGTCTGCAATGATGCAGTCAACAGCTACACTTGCACCTGTTCTGCTGGATATGAAGGAACTTTATGTAACACGAGTAAGACCTAACATTACTTCCGTACATTCTTGGACATCAAACAATATCTTGTTCTCCATTATCATTTAACCATCCACAGCCATACTCCATGTACAACAGACAGTGATAAAGTTTGTGGTGTGTGTCATTCTGGGTCCATGTCATTATAGGGTCGGGTGGTAAGAATGACATGAATGCTTGTACCGTGAGTGTGACCCTTGTATAGGGCGCCCTCTTGAGGGCAGGTCTCACGCCCTCAGTGATACGCATGAGAAGATACATAAAACTGCCATTGTCACTTGGTTTTAGAAATAAAAAAGCGACTTCGTTGACGGAGTTATGTACAAACAATCTGCTCATAAAAAGCAGTGAGATTTTATTCCAATTTTAATAAGGCTGTGAACGAGAAAGAAGTGTAAATTGATTTAAAATATATGTTAGGAGCTAACTGCATCCTCGTCAACTTTTAGAAAGATTTATTTCACTTACTGGTTAGAATATTATTCTGCCATCACAATTCAAACACAGCAAGCAATATTAATCAAGAAAAGTATTATACTGATACCAAACAAAAATTATTTTGCAATAGTATTTGTGTGTAATGTTCCGTCTTTATGGCAGACACCAATGAATGTGCTAGCAGTCCTTGCCAAAATGGCGTCTGCAACGATGCAGTCAACAGCTACACTTGCACGTGCACTTCTGGATACGGAGGAACCTTGTGTGATACAAGTAAGACCCAATTCGAGCGATTCACAATGCAGTGCGCCACCACGAGTTGCCCATGGAGAGTCCATTTTTTCACGTTTACGGTCGACAAAACATGGCCCATTTGAATGAGTGTCAGAAGGCAACCTGAGCTCATTTGTTTTAGATTGAGGCAAAGCGTTCTGCCGCCTTACCAAAAACACCATATTGATAAAAAGAAAAGGAGAGGGCACACAGATACTAGAATCATACGCTTACGAAACTACTGACCGGAAATCAACTAACAATTTTAAATGTCCTGCGTTTTGAATTTGTCATCTATCTTTCACAAATGCACTGGGAAAAAAAATGAGCTCTCCGTGGCAAACTCCTGGTGGCGCACTGCATAGTGAATCGTCCGAATTGAACTTCAGTATTTTTTGACAGCAAATCGAAATCTTGCACTCACTGAAATAACCATCAATAATCCTAAGTGTGCCAGAAGTGGACTCCATTGAGTGGACTACTCTGTGGTGAGTTGTGAGTGAAAGATCTGTTTGACAATAATAAGTCTCAGTATCAATGACGTCATTAACATGTGCACTTTCCTATGGTGCTCAGTGGATCGTAGGCCCCCACTGGTTCCATAGGAAAGTACACATGTAAACAAAGTGTGACGTCATTAGTACAGAGGCTTATTTGAATCAGACAATCAGGAGGTTGGTATGGATGGCTAACCACCCCCTCCACCACCACAAAAACCGACTATTGTTAATTATTTACATATTGGACCAAATTCCACGTTCCCTGAATAACGCCATCACTCAATATTGTGCATTTTGATTAATTGCTTCAGGCCTTTTGTGTTGTATGTAAAGATTGCACTGTCTCATGTCCCCCGAAATATCTTGGACTTCAACACTCCCAGACACCCCTTTGGATAACCCTTGGGAGAAAACAAGCGATCGTTCCCGTTTTTGTGGGAGGCAAGGATTTATCCACAGGGACATTTTTTTTTACTAACCCTGTATGCATACGTATTTCAAGCCGTGTGTATTAAATGTCATATACACGTTCTGTGTGTGACACATACACACAAAATCAATACACACGTCCGTGTTTATCACACGTCCGCAGAGTGCACTACAATACACCTCATTACAATTAATTAAACGAGAAAAAGTTAGTGTTTGTTTCATTTGATACTTGCAGTATCAATCCGTTTGGTGAATGGTGCGACGTCAAACGTGGGCAGGGTGGAGGTGTGGCACAGTGGCGCCTGGGGCACCGTGTGTGATGACAATTGGGACATGAACGACGCCAATGTTGCCTGTCGTCAGTTGGGCTACCCGTATGCGACAAACTTCTACGGCTCAGCTACCCACGGTGCCGGATCCGGGGCGATTCACCTCGATAGTATAAACTGCGCTGGTACAGAAGCTAGCCTTGGCAGTTGTCCACATGGCGGATGGGGTGTGCACAACTGCGGCCATGGCGAAGATTCCAGCCTGAAGTGTTATCCAAGTACGTGGCTGTATTAATTAATGACAAGAAGATGTTGGTTTCTTTAAAACATTTCATTAATAATCACAGTCCAAACGTATAGTGCTAACAGATTTCCCCTTTCAGTTTCTAATCATTTGGCTGTCTCTTCCTTGGGGGGAAGCCCCCAGGAGTGTATTTCAGCAGTGTTTAGTCCAGTCCTTCACATGACAGTATATCAAATTAATTCGCAAGCTTTTCAACTGAACTGTGACAAAATCATTTGCTTGTTACTGTTCGTCAAAGTTGATTGTTGTTTGACTTAGGTTAGGCAGGCGCGGTTCTACGGGGGAAGTGGGCTGCAGCCCCCAATTTTTTGCTTAGAACCCCCCCCAACCCCCCCCCCCCCCAATTGCCAAAAAAAGGAAGTAGCAGTAGAGAATGTTAGAAGGTGACGTCACAGGCAAAAGGTCTCCGCCCCCCTCAAAAAATATTCGCCACAGCCGTCCAGGCACGGATCTAGAGGGGGTTGGTTTTGTGTCGAACCCTCCCCCGGCCCCCCGTTGAAAACTGTTGAAAATTGCATTGATAAGAATAACGTCAATGTTTGCCAGAGGCGTAGCCATTCTTGAGAAGGGTGAATTTGTACAGAGGTAATTTTTATAGTGTGTATGATTGTGGGATTTGATCAGCGCTCCCTATTCAAAGTTTGGTACGAAGCGCGCCTGAGGTTTGGACTTGTGATTCTCGTTTGACCGGACTTGTGATGGGCTTGACCACACCATTTTTAGGCTGACTATTTGTCAGATGGTGTATAAGCAACCCCGCTCTGGGGAAAAAACATTAAATTGTACGTATTATGATGATCATAAAGTATAATTTAAATCCTGACAGGGATTCGTCTGGTGAATGGTCCATTGTCCAACGAGGGCCGTGTGGAGGTCTACCACAACGGAGTCTGGGGAACGGTCTGCGATGACAGTTGGGATATCAACGACGGTCACGTAGCCTGCCGTGAACTTGGCTACCCGTCTGCCGCCCAGGTCTGGTCCTCTGCCTTCTATGGACAGGGCACGGGGGCTATACACCTGGATAACACGGCGTGTAGTGGCAGCGAGGCTAGCCTAGGAGCTTGCGGCCACAGTGGATGGGGTTCTCATAACTGCGGACACGGTGAAGATTCGAGTGTCAAGTGCAACCTGACCTAAGAACTACAGTTTGAAGGTACGATCTTTCAAGAGTGAAAGGAAAAATATTGGGCAAAGAAAAGGGATCCGCATTTACATTAAAGGTAATGTACAACATTTGTTTTTGCTGCAATTTTCAGAAATAAATGGATTTGGGAGGATTAAAATGTTAAAGCAAATATTGTTAAACTGACTTGTTTCACGTTTTCGGCTTGTACATAATGGACAGACCAAGAAAACCAATCATGTTCTTGTAGTTTGGCTCCCTGACACCACTTTAGATGAAACGGAGCAATCTGTATAGACTTTTGGGAATTGTAAGGTCAGAGAATCAGTCTGGCAGGCTTGTAGCTCTTCACAGGTGTGTAATCATCTGCAGAGAAAATGCGGAATAACTAAATATGAAAAATTAGGAGCAGTTTTTGAAAATCAGCCAGTTTTCTCCAACGCTGGTCGGCCGACAAGCGTTGGACAAATACAATTTTTCTTGAAAATGTCAGCTGGCACACCAGCAGGAGCGCCGATTTCACAGGATGCTTTAGACTGTTATTCCCTAACAATCCAGTAAGGTATTTCGTGATAATTTGATCATTTCGTTTTTTTGATGTTTGGAAATGTTGTATCGTCCCTTTAACATAAATTTTTATTTTATACATTGTGCCCACTTGTTTTCCATTTTGAAGTTGTCATGGTATTGTAATTAACAAAAGACATTGTGCATAACAGCCATCTTAGAGGGCATCGTTTGTTATTTTAATTCAGTAACAATGAATGCACAGCAGCTTACACCCAAGGTCAATATTTTAATGAGAAATACGAAGTCACGATTCCGTTTAATTGCAACAAATCAGCGAATAGGATTTGGCATATGCTGCGCGATATTATGTGAAACATTGGAATGATGTTCGTGTCCACAATCTTGCACGTCCGGGCTTTCTAGCTATTTGCAAAGTGCAATGAATTATGTAATGGTGTATAATAATGTACATGGATCAATTCGAAAACAAATTAACGACAACATTTAGGTATAAGGTGAAGCGTCACGCTTTTGTACCCTAACCTATCGACAGACAAGTGGACATGACCGAGAAACAAACAGAGACAGCGACAAAGGACAAAATGGACAACAATCAGACGCACAAAGACACAACCTAGAAAAACAGAAACTGGTATGAGACGAGAGCATACATTTAGATTCATAAATTATAACTAATTATTCAAATAAGAATTGAGTGGATGTGAATTAAGGTTTTTAAACAAAGACAGAGAAGGAGGGTGATGATTTTAAGAAGTTATCTAGACTATTCCAATATGATATACCACGTTGAATAACACTTTAGATTTCTTCTTCTAGTGCTTCGGGTATTATAAAAATGAATATCAGATGTGAACATAAAGAAGGGGTTAAAACAAGTAGCTCGATGTCGATTTGCATTATGGTGGAATTGTAGCAAAACCCTCATACAGTTGTATGTTTAAATAGTATAACTCTATGAGGAAAACACACATCATTACTCCCAGAATGGCTTCGCTATAGCGCCCTCATTTACAAAAAAAAAAAGACCTTTGTGTATACATCGGTGCGTTCGAGTAGCTGACCCGGATCGATTCAGATAAAGGCACTGAGGCAGACGGGTTAGCCACGACATCCTCTGAATGACGTCAGAGCTGGTCTAACGGCACGGGACGATCTGGATGAGCTACTCCAATGCACCCATATTTGATGGAAGTAAAGCCTTGAGATTAACTTTGTCAATCAGGCGATATCTCAAGAAGAAATGTATCCATGTATCCATATGTATCTGCGTTGCAGTTGGGGGCTTAACGACTCTCGATCGCAGCTGCATCTCTTACCTCAAAATATCGTTCACGGGTCATTTTTGTACGTTTGTAACTCAAGTTAACGTCTCGTTAATAGTTTCATCAGTGATTTGAGTTGGTGACAATGAAACTAGCACATGGTAGCGCTGTGAGTGATTTTCACTATTCAAAAGGCTACTTCGACTTGATGATGGGAATTAGAGTCCTTATCAAGCAAAGAGAGATAAAAAATCTTGTTAAACTTGTTTTGTTACTCTTTTGAGTTTGATGTGCAAAATATTTTTCAGAATTTATTGAAGATAGCCTAAAACAGGTTCATTTTTTTTTAAAACACTTCTCTCTGTAGAACTACGACGACACTTTGTATGCTTGTACATGTAAAGTTATAGGTTGTTATTATGTAAAGTTGTTAAATGTAAATTTGGTGTTTATATGTTTTAGCGCCTTGAATTGAATTCGTTTCTGCGATTGTCAGCGTTTTATAAATTTCTCTTTTATTATTATTATAACGATGACGTCATAATGTGATTTTTTAGATAATGAGATTTTTAACATTTACTTCAATGTCAAGGTTAAAAAAATCATTATATAACCTAAATGTGCTCAATTCGAAATTCTTGTTGTTAATAGCTTGGGTGGTTAATAAAGATGTTAATCTGGCAAAGAATGGTGAGAAATATCTGACATCGTGTTCTCATCAATGTGCCGTGTGCTATTTTAAAGACAAGGCTTGATTTGTCATGAAACTTGGTGGTCGCGTAGGATATTTTGCAGATATGCGTATTACCAAGGTCCTAATGATGACGCCATACATTGACTGTTTTAAATACTCTTTGAATGTTTTCCCCTTTTCCACTCTCAACTTGACATGATCGGAACTTGTGACAAGATGGACGTGCTACTTTTCACGTAAGAGAATAAAAACAAACATGCACCTAGTATTGGCATCATCATGATGTCATCACCAAATGTTTTGGTGATTTTAAAAATATGCTACCGAAAGTTTCATAAAGTTTGTACATGTTTTTTGCGACTGCATTTCTGTCATTTTTGTGTTTTTGTATGTGTACAGGTCAATTAGATGCAAAATTGCACTGACATAACTTCTCATAAGCTTCAGTTTACCTGCATGGGTTGGACATAGGCTGTACATTGATTGACCGCTCGAGACCAGAAAATGACCCCCCCCCCCCAATATTTTGAGGGTATAACTTTTATTCATGAGCTCGGCGGACGGATTTAGGCCTATTTACCGGTGTGCACACCTATGAGCAAGCACGGGCAAGGAAAACCTCGTCCCCAGTGCTTACTTTATTTCCAACCGCGTTTCCAATAGTAAACCCTGGATAGGAAACTTTCTTCCTGGATACCGCAATTGGTTAGTAATGGATTTTTATCGACACCGCATACAAAAGCAAACGCTAATGTGTAACGCATATCCAGGCACCAGACTGTTCCTCATTTGCATACGTGTTCAAAAATCTTGCACATGCAAATGATCCAATACCAGGGTGAGAGAGCAGGTAGTGGTGGGCGCCGGTACTGCTCGACACCCTGGGGACGAGGTTTGGGCAAGGACTACTAGTCGACTAGTGGTTGTTTATGTGACGTAACTTACGCCTGCGCAAATGGTCTAAACGTCATCACGAAAGCTTCTTCGTCCAGGCTCCCCGTCCATGCATCATGATTGGTACGATTATTGGTAACCAGCGATGCAACCGTGCCCAATGGTCTGGTTCCAAATGGTCAACTAGAGTAGTCCAACCATCCTTCCTTCGAGGGAAGTTAGTCAAAGATATACCTTTATCATGCTGCCACCATTTCAATCATGTTTCCCGTATCCAATAACAGTAGGCCCTACTGAATGATAATGGTTTTTTTGTAAAAAAATAAATAAAAAGGAACCAGACTATTTTTCCTTCTAGCCTCGCTTAGGTTACGTTGATTTTAATGGGAAAAAAATCAAGATGGCCGCAACATGATAATGACTGCGCAATAGTCGTAGCCTTGTTGCCATTTTGTGATTGGACGATGAACGACATTCGTTTGATGGTGTCTTCATATCTCCAGTGCAAGTAGCTGCAAGCGCGGTCGGTTACCGCGCGGTCGCAAGTAGCGCTGCCTACGCACCCGGGATCCGCACTCAGTATACAATACTTTCAGAATCATTTTAGTGACGGTCTGTTTCATAAAAAAGTGAACATCAAATGATCTATAATAATTACATCTTGAGATCGTTTAGATGCATGAAAGTGAATACGGAATTGAAGTGTTAAGTAATTAGTTCTTGCGGTAGCATCATCAGTCCTTTTTACTTATATTAAGGAGGATTTTTAAAAACTTTTAACTATTTTAAAATTAAAACAATGTTTGAAAAGAAAAGCAGGGATCAATTTAATACGCATAATATGTACATAAAATTAATAAATTTACAGTCGTAAAACAATTTTTTAAAGAAAGCATGAGTATACATGAATAATATAGTAATTTTTTTTTAAAGAGAGAAGTAATTCTTCCATTCCAAAAGTTTATGCACAAAATTAATGTCCAACGAATCATTGTAGATAGCTTGCAATGTTCATTTGAAAATCGAGATATATACACAGTAGGGTTTTGTGAAATGATAAAGTTTTTCTTTCCCCCTTTCTGATGTATCACTATGTGAACGAAATGTGTCAAAAACCTGCAGAATCTGGTCTTGTACGATGAACATGTACATGCGGCGCCCGTACGTGTACATGGTACCGTACGTCGTACTTGCGTACATGTACTTCAACGTCGTTAATTGTCCAATCACAAAATGGCAACAAGGCTACGACTATTGCGCAGTTGATAATGGTCTATATAGTTCGCGCCTGAGCTCGCTCCATTGGTGGACCCAACCACTTGCAGTAGATATGCTTCCACGCGTGACACGTAGACAGTAATAAAACAGCCACCGGGATCACCCACGGCTCATTGTGTGAACAGCACGGTACTCACCTCAGCCAGCAGTGTTAAACTGATTGTGAGATGTAGTTTCATCCAGAATTGTTTTCTGCGGTACCTTATACGCGGATATTTTTTCCGTGTTATCAGCTTAAAAAATACAAAGGGGTCCTCAAAAGACGGCCATCAATTGATACTTTGATTAAGGGACTCTGGGATTTCAGTTCTTATCTTTAATTGAAGGACGATAAGTTGACGATAAGGAAACCATGGCCTCAAATGCGGCCACTCTTCCTTACGCAGCAGCAGCAGCATGCATCGTCATCGCAGTACTACCGTGGATCCACGGCATAGAATCGTATTGGGGTCACCGCAGTTTTAAGGTCCAGTGTGAAAAGGGGATCCGTATTGGTGGCGGGGACGCCGGCTTGCGAGTGTCCCGTAAGACGTCATCCAAAGCCAAGTGTCTGCGGAGCTGCTTTACTCGCGCCGAGTGCAAGTCTATCAGCTACTCGCCAGAGACGGGCCAATGCTACATGAGCGACTCCACCAAGGG